TGCGGGAGTAGACAGCCTCATCTTTGTCCTGAGGATCAGCTGGTGCTTTTGAACCCCGGGGAAGGACTAGAGAGGTGGAGACCTCGTCTTCAGAAGGATATGGGCCCCGTGGAAGCGATGCAGGGAAACAGTGGCTTCGCGTTTTTTGCGTGAAGGGCCCTTGGGTCTTGCAGCGGGACTTTTTGGCACCCCTCCTGTGTGCTTCTGGCTCTGCTCTTCTCGAGCAGGGCCAGATTTACAGGGATTTACACTCGGTGTCACATTGCCACCAGCACAGGCTCCATCAGTGCTATTAACTGAGCCCCTAGGAAATGCTCCGTGTCCCCGGGCCTGCACTACTGCCTTCCGGGGAGGAGAGAAGTGAGTCCTGAAGGTTGGTGGCAGCGCTGTGCATCTGGGCCTTCCCGAAGTCCAAGAGTCTGTGCCTTTGTCCCCGCCACGGAGAGGGCCGAGGCACAAAAGCAGAGCCCATGCCTGGACGGAGACTCTCCCTTCTTCCCTGGCCAGCTTTCGCAGGCAGACGATGCACTGTAGGCAGCATGGCTCTGGGCGGGTGCACGGTGCTCCTCCAAGTGGCCCCTGTGTTCGTGAGCACCTTAAAGAAGCCTTTTGTAGCAGGCTCGCCCAAGGCAGCCACCCTCTTATTGACTGATGCTTTCCCTCCGTGGGCGTTGCTGATAGGTCCAAGGAAAACGAAAGCCGTGACAGCCTCCATCATCTTTTCTGTGGATGGACCAGGCTGTCGCGCAGGAATAAAGGTCAGGAGCCCACCACCGCCTGCGGGGGACGGGGACTCCAATTGATCCACAATCGTCAGCATGGTCATTCAAGTGACCGACTTTCATGCACTCTGGTTCCCACATAGTGAGTGCCCCAGGGGGTGTCTGGAAGATGCTGGGCACACTGTGGGCGGCAGTACAGGAGAGAGACCCTGAGCCTGGGAAGCCCCCACTTCATAGACACCTGTGAGCAAGTGTGGTCTCAGTCCCAAAGGGAGATGTGACAACCACTTCACCGCCTCCCTTGAGGTTCTGCTCTGCAAACCCATGGCCAGGTCTGGAGGGTCAGGCCTCCACCCTTGGCACACCCAGCAGGAGAACCAGGTGACACCCATGGAGGTGTGACACTCCCCAGCATCATTTACATATGGCGCCCAAGGTCGTCCTGGAGATACCAGCGGATCTGGATCCCAAAGAAAGGGAGGACATGGAAGGGCGGAGGAATGGAAGCGGGAGAAGCCAGTGGGCCTTCGGAAGACTAGAAACACGGGGAC